TGCTGCATCACCTGCTGCATCACCTGCTGCATCACCTGCTACATCACCTGCTGCATCACCTGCTACATCACCTGCTGCATCACGTGTTGCATCACCTGCTGCGTCCCAGGTGCGATTTTCATTTCATGTATGTAATTCTGTAGCACTTTACACAACCACAGTGATCGTGACCAAAGTGCTTACGAAAAACAATAATTAACATGACAACAAATTAAAAGCAAGAAAAACTCAATGAAATAAAAAGAGAAGCAGAAATGTCCGCACATGTTGAAGTACTAAGAAGTATTAAGAAGTATTAAGAAGTGTTAAGCTTGGATTTAAAAGGGCAGGTTCAGTAATGTGACGTAGCTCAGACAGCGATGGGTCAAATGCAGAGAACTAGTTTCTCATTTTATTGGAACATGATGAAGAAACATAATCTTTCGCTGGACATAGTGTCAGGTTTGTTTGGTTTTGCGTTCCTTCTTCGATCAGCTGTTTTTATACTTGTGTGTTTTCACTTCTCAGGTCATGTCCACGAGTGATTTTACGCAGCACAGGACCCCTCCCTCTCTGTGCGTGTGTGTGCGCGTGTCAACATTAAAGCGTCAGATTCCGGGCGGGTTTTGTCCAGCTGACCCTGTGCGCTGCAGCCACATGTGTGTACTGAGGCAGCAGAGAGATGTGGACCCCCACCTCGCCCCTCCTCCGCCACCAGGCGCGTCGCTGTCAGCAGGACCATCCCGTCCTAAATGCATCTTTACGAGCGTCTCGTGCTCCCTCTGGCAGGGCTGTGTCTCCGCAGCACCTGGTCGTCCAAACTTTGTGTTTTTATTTCCTTGCGCCTGAGCAGCAGCTGCCTAAAGCAAGCAGAGTGGCCCTTGTGGTGTCCTGGAGATGGATTTGGCACCGGCTTCCTGCTCTTTAATGTTCCATCAGCCTTTGTGCACGGCACAATATGGCCGCTGTAAAGCATGACATTTTGCAATAACAAAAAACACTTTTCCAAAGATGTGACACCCAGCTGAAAGCGCAGCGCGGGCTGCGCGGGCCAAACGTGCCCCGCGCTTGTTTTGTGCACTCTCAGCCAATTAGGAGCGAGCTCGATCAGCCAATTTAATTTACGTCTTCTAGTTTTTTCAAAGACAGAAAAGAGGTGGATATGGTGCGTTCTCCTCCCGGGAAAAAAACAAAACAAAAAAAAAGAGGCAATTTACTTGTCATCACCTGGCGCTTTCTTTACAAGATCCAGTGGCCCCGGAACCATACGGCTCCCAGCATCGCGCAGCATTGTTTCCCGCGGTGATCACTTGTTACCAGCATGGAACAAATCTTTTCTTAGCTCTGTTTTGTGTCATATTTTCATCCGGCAGATTAGGCAGATGCTCCGCACAGCCGGGCTCTGGCTGAAAGGGAGTCGGCCACTCTGGGCACATCTTCAGAGGAATAAAACATTTAGGAGCCATAAACAGACTTCAACCTGCTCTGTTTCAGCCTTTGTGCTGTTTGTGAATAATTAATGTTAATAGGGACAGGTTTGTGTACTTTGAATGCGGGACCACAGGTGCAGAGTGACATGATGAATAACCAGGCCTGATTTTTGCCAAAGCTCGAGGGCCCTTGTCCCGGGTCTCCAAGCTGATGGAAAATATTGTCATGTCTTTGATTCGCAGCATTACTTTCACGGAGAACAAAGCGTGCACATGAAAAGCTTATGTTGGAGTGACGTTG